CTGTCATTTGTGTCCTGTTTCTTTGTCTCGGCATTTTTTATGCTTCGCTGTGTCGATAGAGTGGCTTTCTGTGCTAAGTGTCCCAATTACATGAGGCAGACACTCTTGGTGTCCCCCCTTGTGGTCTTTGTGTGCAGTCTTGTTGTAGCTAAGCCTTGATTGTTGTAGGTAACACTGGGAGGGATTTGACCTCCAGGCCAACTGGCTGTGAGAATCAGCTGTGTCTGCAGTGGGAGAACTTCTGTCCTCTAGGGAGGTTCTAATCTAGCCTTTGCCTGAGGCTATCCCGCAAATGCCTCTGTGCAAGCCTTGGGTGGGGCTTGTCTCAGGGGATCAAGAGGTCGGGTAGAGTGAGCAGTTATGGCTGCTCTCAGTACAGTCCCCAGAGGCTATGCCTCTCAGTGTCCCAGCAAGCGCTGCAAACCTCGGAGAGAAAGCTACCCTCGAGTTCCAACCGATGCCAGACAGTCCCGCTTCTCCCGTATGAGTCTGGGTCCCTAGAGACTCTCCCGGAATTGGAGCTCAGAGCCTGAGACTCCCTCCCGATTGAAAGAGGCAACCACGCCCTCAGCCGCCAGCCCGCTCCACAGGCACCTCCACACTTTAGTATTTCACTTCCATACTGCGCCTCCTCTGAGTCTCGGTATGCTTTTCTCTTTCCTTCTAGTTGTGGAATTTCCACTCAGCCAGCCTTCCTGTGGTTCTGGGTGATGTCTGTTCCGTCTTTTTTTTTTTTTTTTAATATATTTTATTGATTTTTTACAGAGAGGAAGGGAGAGAGATAGAGAGTCAGAAACATCGATCAGCTGACTCCTGCACACCTCCCACTGGGGATGTGCCCACAACCCAGGTACATGCCCTTGACCGGAATCAAACCCGGGACCCTTCAGTCCGCAGGCCGACGCTCTATCCACTGAGCCAAACCAGATTCAGCCTGTTCCATCTTTTAGTTGTATTTTTGAAGTGGTTGTGCAAGGCAGCAATCTCTGGTGTGAACCTATGCTGTCATCTTGGTTTCTCCTAAGATTGGTTTTCTTGAGATATTAATGTTTATTGCATGTAACATTTAAGATCATTTTCTTGAAATATTAAGGTTTATTGCATGTAACATTATTATATTTAAAAATCATTTTACTGGAAATTAAAAAAAAGAACATCTTCAAACTGAAAGAAAAGGCATGTTAATATAGCAACAGGTTTAATGTCTTTTAAGTACATAAAATTAATTTTTTTTTAAATACATTTTATTGATTTTTTACAGAGAGGAAGGGAGAGGGATAGAGAGTTAGAAACATCGATGAGAGAGAAACATCGATCAGCTGCCTCCTGCACACCTCCTACTGGGGATGTTCCGGCAACCAAGGTACATGCCCTTAACCGGGATCGAACCTGAGACCCTTCAGTCCGCAGGCTGATGCTCTATCCACTGAGCCAAACCGGTCAGGGCCATAAAATTAATTTTAAATAAATGGAGAGATATACCATATTCATGGATTGGAAAATGTTAATGCTGTGAAGATGTCAGTTTTCCCCAACTGAGCAGTAGACTCAATGTAATTACCATCATGAGCCCAGGAGAGCCCAGGCCAGCCAGTTCAGTGGTTAGTGTCAGCCTGCACATGGGAGGATTGTAGGTCCAATCCCCACCTCCCCTCCACACCCTCTGGAGTGCTTGTGGGAGGCAATCAATAGATGTCATATGAATGTTTCTTTCTCTCTCTCTCTCCTCCCTTCCTTTCACTCTGTCTAAAAGCAATGGAAAAAATATCCTCACTGCTTGGGTGAAGATTTTTTTAAAAAGCCCAGCCCTTACCAGTTTTCCCAGTGGATAGAGCATCGGCCTGTGGACTGAAGGGTCCCAAGTTCGATTTCCGTCAAGGACAGGTACCTTGGTTGTGGGCACATGCCCAGTAGGGTGTACAGGAAGTAACTGATTGATGTTTCTCTCTCATCGATGTTTCTAACTCTCTATCCGTTTCCCTTCCTGTAAAAAAAAATCAATAAAATATATTTTTTTAAAAAGCCCAGTAGGATGTTTAATTGAGAAATGGGTTTTTTTTACATATATATTTTTTATTTCAGAGAGGAAGGGAGAGGGAGATAGAAATGTCAATGATAAGAGAGAATCATTGATTGGCTGCCTCCCGCACGCCCCTGCACTGGGGATCGAGCTTGCCACCAGATCGTGTGCCCTTCACCGGAATCGAACCTGGGACGCTTCAGTCTGCAGGCCGTTGCTCTATCCACTGAGAAAAACCAGTTAGAGTGATAAATTGATTTTAAAACACAGTAAGGTTTTAAAAAGAAAAGTGATAACAAGAAAAAAATTGAAAAAAGAAGAAAGTTGGGTGAAACTACCCGATTTCAAAGCTTAGGGTAAAGAAAGTACGGTACAGGTCAAGGAAAGAGAAGAGTGCAGGTTTTCTTTTCCAGACTTTTGATAAAGGCAGAAGGTAACAACGAAGTAGTACTCTTTCCAATTAATGATGTTGGAACGAATACATATCTTCTATATGAAAAAAAAAAGAAGTGAGCCAAGGTGGGGCTAATGTCAGCTCACTCAAAAAGTCAGGGAAAAGGGAGCCTTGGGGACAGGTTTAAGGGTTTAGCCCAGGACAAACTGCCACTTCCCATTGCTCCTCTTGTTGTCAGTCTCATCAGATTTCTTAGAGTTTAGGAGATACATGTCTGTGGGTAAATAAGAGACAGAAGGGGCAGGTTTGGGCCTGCTCTGGGGAGGGAGAACATACCAACTCTTAATTTCTTAAGCTCCATTGTATAAATTGTTCAAGTTATGACATATATAAACTATTATAGCTATCAAGCCTTCAATTCCCATTGTATACATCTTTGTTCTTTTTCTTCTTTATTTTGCATTTTTATTTTATTGACTCCAAAGTAGGTAATGTGTCTTTTTATTAAATGGAATCATACAATATGTGGTACTTTGTGACTGGCTTTCACATACTTATCATCTGTTTTCAAGGTGCAGCCATGTTGTAGTATGTATCTTGGCTTCACTTTTTATTGTCAAACTAGAGGCCCAGTGCACAAATTCATGCATGGGTGGGATCCGGCTGGCCCCAGTCGGCCCCATTTGGGCTGGGCTGGCCTGGAGGTTGGCTGGCTGACCCTACCCCCTGGTCGAATTCCCAGTCAAACTCCCAGTGAAGGGGACAATTTGCATATTAGCCTTTTATTACATAGGATAATGTTCCATTGTATGAATAATACCACACTTTAATTTATCCATCAGTAATGGACATTTGAATTATTTCTACTTTTTGGCTATTATGAATAATATTGCTATGAACATTTTGTGTAAGTCTTTGTGTGGGCATATATTTTCTTTTTGGCATTGCTGAGTTATATGATAACTCTAACTTTTGAGTAATTTCCAGACTGTTTTTCCAACACAGTTTTTCCAAGCAGATACACCATTTTACATTCCCTCCATCACTATAGGAAGATTCCAGGTTTTCAACATCTTGCCAGCACCTGTCTTTTCATTGTTGTCATCCTAGTTGGCGTGAAGTAGAATGTGGTGGTTTTTATTTGTATTTCTTCTTCAATGACTAATGATGAACATCTTTTGGTAGCTTACTGGGCATTTGTATATACATTTTTTTTTTTTTTTAGTGTTAATAATTCTAAGATAAAAATATAATCTGTTTCTCCTTAGATGTTGGAAGCAAAATCAAAGAAAATATCCATATCAGAAAACAGAAAAAGAAATGCTATTAGAGAAGAAAATGAAGGGAAATTATATGGATCATTGAATACACTTTTGAAAAAAATAGAGGGAATACCAAGAAAAAAGGAAAAGACTTCAGAGCCACAGCTATCAGCAGAGTGCAAGATAGATGTATCACTAACCAAACAGGATATGAATTTACCTGCTTCTGCATCCATCATAGATGATACATTCCAAGAGCAACTGGAAGGTAAAAAATCTGAAGACTCCACTCAAGCAGTTGTGCTTTCTGCAGATCCAGGCACATGGCCCCGATTTTTAAATATTAAACAACGGGACTTTCTTATAGAAAATGAACCCCCTCAAGTAAGAAATTTCAACTTTCCAAAAGACAATACAGGGAGGAAGTTTTCAGAAACTTATTATACACGAATTCTTCCAAATGGTGAAAAAACCCCTAGATCCTGGTTGCTTTATTCAACCTCAAAAGATTCTGTGTTTTGTCTACATTGCAAAGTCTTTGAGGGAGGAAAAAATCAATTGAAGAATGAGAATGGGTGCAAAGATTGGCAGCACTTATCACACATTCTTAGTAAACACGAAGAAAGTGAAACGCACATCAACAATAGTTTTAAGTATTCAAAATTCAAATCTGATGTGGAAAAAAACAAAACTATTGAAACTGTAGAACACAGAGAACATGAGAATGAGACCAATGAGAGTGTGCTGTTGCTGTACACATGATATACCTGATAGGATCTTATGTTCACTCACAAGAGATCTGTACCTCACAGTCAATACCATTGTGTTCTAAGGCTCCTACAGAGAGTAACTCAATAGTCCATTTGCAATAAGCATAATGGCAAAGAAATAGTAAAGAATGTTTGTTTTCCAAATTCTAAAGGTATTTTGATTCAATAGGAATTAATGCAAGTTTCAGTAAACACAGTTGTTAATTTTTTCAATCTATCCACACGTTTTTAAAATGGCATTTGATAGGTTTGGTTAATTTTCTATTCTAAGTAGAAAGCACAGAAAGAGGTAGAAAAAGGCTTAACTTTATCAATACCAGTTTGAACAAGATACTTATGTGAACAAGTGTTCTCATCATTATTATTAAAGTAAAAACATTCAGCAGCAGTCTAAAAATAGAGTCGGATATGAAACTACAGAGTTTTGCTATTAAACCAAATACTTGTGATTTATTTCTTTTGTGTAAAACATCCTTTTATTTTAGGAAAATAGCATTATTTGTTAAATAAATGTTTAAGGTGGTTAATTTGCATTTTTTTGGTTTTTTAATTTGTAAATATTTTAGCTTTTATTGTTTTGTGAGAACTATAAGCATAAAGTTCCTATTTTTATGTTGGTATATATATAAGAAATATGAAAATAAAAATATATTAAGTTAACCTTTAGGTAATGTGGCAATTTTTTCCTCTGAAGGAGGTTTTCTGCTTGAAATCTGAGAAATACTCATGAAAAGTAAGGATCTCATTTTCCCAGATGGTCAATCAATGTTCCATCTGTATATTTGGTAATTCTCTATTGTTTCTGATACCAATTTTTATCCGATATTAAATTCTTTTTAAAAAGTATATATTTTTATTGATTTCAGAGAGGAAGGAAGAGGGAGAGAGAAATAGAAACATCAAGGATGAGAGAGAATCATTGATCGGCTTCCTCCTGCACACCCCACACTGGGGATAGACCCCACAACCCATGCATATGCCCTGACCAGGAATCGAACCGTGACCTCCTGGTTCATAGGTTGATGCTCAACCACTGAGCCATGCCAGCTGGGCTAAATTCTTATGTATACTTCAGCTTCTCTCAAGGTTTTTCCTAGGAAACAAACTGACATATGAGCAGAACAAGTTATGTTTTTGTTGGTGGGGCTGACACTCAGAGTACTTGACTATAAGTGAGGCCTGTGTTGGATCTTCCAGGGAAATCATTCTCATTAATTTATAACCCTATTTTTGCTTGTTTTTTTGTTTGTTTGTTTGTTTGGGGTTTTTTTGTTTGTTTGTTTTATTGCAGTGATCATTTCAATCTCTTAGACTTGGATCTGAATGAGCCTTTGGGATATTTCCAAAAATCCAGTTTGTTCTCAGAGGCCTATGAGGATATTCTAGAAAATATAGCAGGTTGTTCTGAAGTTCCTTTGCAAAAGGTTAATGGCCTTGTTATTTCATTAAAGCTTAGAGTTAATTGACACATTTGTTACATGATTATATTAGACTAGGGGTCCAGTGCACAAATTCATGTACTTTAAAAGGAACTGTGGGCCGCAGGCTGCAGTGGGCACATGGGCAGGTCTCAACTCATCCTCCATGCCCCTGCCCGGCCCCTTCCACCGTGTCCCCGATCCCCCCGGTCCCCTGTCTGCCGGAAGTCCCGCTTCCACTGCCACTGCACCCACCCACTGAAGGTGCTGGCACCCGCTGACGGTGTGGAGCGATTGGGGCTGGCACGAGCAGCAGGTGCAAGCAGAGCTGGCGCTGTCAGTGGGTGCGAATGGCGGCTGCTGCCCCGATCGCCCCTTAGGAGTAGGGGGAGGTGGAGAAGCCCTCATGGGCGATTGGGGCCGGGAGCTGCCACTTGTACCTGCTGATGGCGCTGAGCAATCAGGACCCTCGCTGGGTGCTGGAAGTGGGTGTGAACAGCAGCTCTAGCGCCAGCTGCGGGTGCGAGCAGCGCCGGCACAGGCAGCAGGTGCAACCACTGGGCAGGACTGTGGCGTGCAGGAGCAAAGAATTTTCAGTAACCACAGAGGCTTGCCTCGATGACAGCGACCAGTACCCCACATTGGTCTGGCGCCCCTGCTCACCTCTACCATCCCACTGTGGCCTACGCCCACCATGTTCTGTACTCTGCCTGACTGCTGCCAGTGCCTGCCATTTTCCACACGCATATGTCAGCACATATCACAGTAACCGGTTGTTCAGTTGTTCCACATTTTGGTCTATTTGCATATTAGCCTTTTATTATTTAGGATAGACTGTTGAGTGTCAGCAAAGTAATGAAGTCAACCAGTGACTACTTAAATAATTTGGTAAGACCATCAAAAATAAAATTAGATCCTCCAATTCTTTCATTTCTTCAGCATAATACACATCTATCAGGCACCATAAACCCTTCATATAGTAATGAGTTAAATGTGGAAAATTCAAAATTTAGGTGCTTGGTTTATCGGTATTCACTGTAAATTTCAAATTTTGGTATGTCTGAAGTTTTTGATAATGAAATGTTGAGGGGAAAAAACTGTAAATTCAGGAGATGATAAAAGTAAATATTTCTTGGCAGGGGAATAACAGGTGTTTGTTTTTTTCTTAACTAGATCTTTTCTTTACATTGTAAAATTAGAATGTACTTGCTATAAAGAAGGAAGGCAGTACACAGAATGAGAAAGGCAAGTCCTATTTTCTGTCCCCCACTCTCCTGCTATGGGATTGGTCACTAATGATGTGAACTATACTCAGTGTTTGTTTCCCATCCTTTTAATTTCACTGAGTAAAGGCATTAGGAAAAATGAGAAAGGACAATTCAAAGTAACAGTCCTCAAGAAATGGCAATTTATTGATTTTCTCATTGAGAACAAGTGAAATTTTTTTCATAAACCTCACAATTTCAAATATTACATCTTTAAAATTCTTACATTGAGACATTTTTTTTTCCTTTGATCCCCTGGCTCACCTCTGTTCAGTGCTGGAAGCTAGTAAGAGTTGCTATTAGCCACTTTACATGTACAATGTACAATTTGCTACATAAGATATAAAAGTGAATAAGAGTTTGAAATAAAGAGCTCAGTCCAGTTTGGTAGAAAGAATAGTGCTATATTACTTCAGGTCTTATCTCTTCTGTTTCAAAGCTTCGAAGTTCCCCATTGCTTCTAGTTTAGAACTCCCAATTTCTTAGCACAATATAAGTTAGATAGCTATCAGTGTAAGGTAATAGGGGAACACTGTAGACAGAACATGAAATACAAAATTTTGGAAATGGAATAGTCTTCTATAGCGTTGAGTTATATAGCATGTTTACATTAGGATGAAATTAGGAATTTGAGAATTTAACTGAAGCTGAAAGGAAAATCTGAATCATGTGCCTACATCTGTTTCTGAGACAGTAAGAAGTTTGAGAAGATAGTAGCATAATATGGAGGACTAGAGATGATTTTCAAAAGCTTATAGTTATCATTACTGTGAAAATTAGCCAATGAGGCCCTGGTCAGGTGACTCTGTTGGTTGTGTTACCAGACCGCCTCCTGAATCAGGGGACAATGGGCTCTCCCCTCCTCAGCTCTTGCTAATCTTGTGAGAAGGAATACAGACAAGAAGCAGAGCAAAGCAAGCCCATTTATTAAGAATACACGTGGCGCTCTAGCCGACTTGGCTCAGTGAATCAGTGGATAGAGTGTCGGCCTGTGGACTGAAGGGTCATGGGTTTGATTCCGGTCAGGGGCATATGCCTGGGTTTCGGGCTCTATCTCCAGTAGGGAGCGTGCAGGAGGCAGCCAATCAATGATTCTTTCTCATCATTGATGTTTCTATTTCTCTCCCTGTCTCCCTCTCTGAAATAAATTAAAAAAATGTATTTTTAATTAAATCTTTATTGTTCAGATTATTACATTAGTTACTCTTTTTTCCCACCATAACTACCCTCCACCCAGTTCCCACTCTCACTCCCCACCCACTGTCCTCCGCCATAGGTGCAC